TGTTGTTGTTGGTGTTGTTGTTGTTGTTGTTGTTGTTGTTGTTGTTGTTGTTGTTGGTGCTGGTGCTGGTGGTGGTGTTGTTGTTGTTGTTGTTGTTGTTGTTGTTGTTGTTGTTGTTGTTGTTGGTGTTGGTGTTGTTGTTGTTGTTGTTGTTGTTGTTGTTGTTGTTGTTGTTGTTGTTGTTGTTGTTGTTGTTGTTGATGCTGTTGTTGTTGTTGTTGTTGTTGTTGTTGTTGTTGTTGTTGTTGTTGTTGTTGTTGTTGTTGTTGTTGTTGTTGTTGTTGTTGTTGTTGTTGTTGTTGTTGTTGTTGTTGTTGTTGTTGTTGTTGTTGTTGTTGTTGTTGTTGTTGTTGGTGGTGGTGGTGCTGTTGTTGTTGTTGTTGTTGTTCATGTTGTTGTTGGTGCTGGTGCTGGTGCTGGTGTTGTTGTTGTTATTGTTGTTGTTGTTGTTGTTGTTGTTGTTGTTGTTGTTGTTGTTGTTGTTGTTGTTGTTGTTGTTGTTGTTGTTGTTGTTGGTGGTGATGTTGTTGTTGTTGTTGTTGTTGTTGTTGTTGTTGTTGTTGTTGTTGTTGTTGTTGTTGTTGTTGTTGTTGTTGTTGTTGTTGTTGTTGTTGTTGTTGGTGCTGTTGCTGTTGCTGTTGCTGTTGCTGTTGCTGTTGCTGTTGCTGTTGCTGTTGCTGTTGCTGTTGCTGTTGCTGTTGCTGTTGCTGTTGCTGTTGCTGTTGCTGTTGCTGTTGCTGTTGCTGTTGCTGTTGCTGTTGCTGTTGTTGTTGTTGTTGTTGTTGTTGTTGTTGTTGTTGTTGTTGTTGTTGTTGTTGTTGTTGTTGTTGTTGTTGTTGTTGTTTTCTGCCAACACTGATTGGCCGTTGCTTGTAAACTATTTACTTGCTCGTTCGCTCTCACAACATTATTGTCTTCCAAGAAGACATGGAAGCATTGGGTTGTCCCCCTGGTTTTTGTGGGAGTTCGGGCCGCCCAAACAAAATGTCGACTACCAAAAACAACAGTTGCTCATGTGGTGCTACATTGCTTGTCAGAAACTCTATCAAGGGGTTCATGACCATGGCCTCCAACCCATACCGATGGACGAATCCAGCCAAAAGGATGATGACACCCTGGGACAAACCACATCCCATCTGGTGCAAATTAATCAGACTTAACGTACTGTATGTGGCTCACTTGCTCGTCTCCAACTGCACTTTGGGGCTAGGTCCAGGTCCTTCTTGAGCTTCTCCAACTCCCGGATGCGCTGCTGCACCTTTCGCAACGCAAGGACGTCCCTCGCCCAAAGGCCGTGCTCCGAATCGAGATGGAATTTACAATGGGTGTGTCTGTTTTGGAGGGTACCCTTTTTTGATGGTGTTAAAGGGAACCAAAAGAAAAAGCCACCAATTTGGGGGGGTCCAACCTCAGCCACTCAACTCGCTTCGTCTGGTTTGGGCCCATCAACCCTTGCGGTTTGGTCATTTCACTTCAGGCTTCGGAGCATCTCTGGCAACTGAGACAGAGATGCCGACCGATGTGACGCTATGTGACCAAAATGGGTATGAAGCTCCAAATCGGCTTTTGGTGCCTTGTTCCTTTTCTAGGTCCTCCAGTAGAGAGGTTAGAATAAAGATACCTTTTTGCTGTCGTCTGTTTTGGTAGGGGAACCCTTCCCCCAAAAAGGGTAAAGGGGCACTGCGCAGAAACCTAGTTTTGGCCTCCCTTGCAACCAAACTAAAAAACACATCCCGCTTTTAAAGGCACACGCACACGCGCGCAAATTGTTCAGCCTAGTTCTCAAAATGGACCGACGGTTTCCTCTCAGGTTCACCCCAACTTTCTTCGGTCAATTGACCTGATTTCAGGGTCGCTGTGACCGGGCTAATCTGAAAGAAGCCCCAAGGTTCACCAGTTTCCAAAATTTCCGGAATCGAGCCAGGAGGAAATGGCTGAGCCTCGTATTTTTGGGTCCAGGAGATCAGCTTCAGCCGCGTGAGGGAGGGGGGAGTCATGAACTGTTTACTTGGGTTTCGTGAAGTCTTGTTGAGACAACAACCGTTTAGATGGTTTTGACAGAACTACCAGCTGGGCCGTTCTCGGCCTCGCCTTTTCTTGGCCGGGCCTCTCCAACGCGACAAAACTTGGAAGCCAAGCTCCCTGCAGCATGCTAGATTGGACGCAAATGGCCACCTGGTCCCAAGGAAAAGCAACTGGACCTAGTGCTCGACTGCGGTTTGGTCAACGGTTTGATGTCATGTTGTGAGGTACCCTGATTGTGCATCAACTCCTCTGATAACTTGCGTCTTTTGTTGCAGCCTCGACGTGAGCATTTGCAGCTCCTGCCCCCCCCCCCCGCCCGGCACCCACATAACCTCTTGCCAACAATTGAAGTAGACGAGGGGTCTTTCTCAAAAGAAGAGGAATACTAGCCTTCCAAATCCAGTCTTTCAGCATCCCGAAATTGTTTTGCAAGAGAGTGGTTCCAACAAATCCACTAAACACCCATTCGATGTGT